AAAAAAAAAAAAAAAAAAAAAAAAAAAAAAAAAAAAAAAAACTGCTGTTAAAGTTTTAGTCCTATTTTTGTCATTTAATTTATTTCGAATTCTTTACAATTTTAATTCCTTTAGGTTAGGTTTTCATTTAAACCCTTATTAATAAAGGATTAATTCTTTGTTTTGGGGTATTTTGGAATTAATAAAACTTCTTGATTTTATCTTGGAAAAAATTCATAATCCAGGTGTATTATCTACACAATTCAAAAATCAGGTAGATAATTTGAAAATTCAAAATTCGGGTACATATTTAATTAATTAAAAATATTTATTAAATAAATATAATAAAGTCACATTTATACGATTAATGGTCACATATCATCAAATTAATTGGCCACAGGTTATTTCAATGTCACAAATTATTCAAATTATAGATCACAGTTCATCTATGAGTAACATATTTTAAAAATACTTGGTCAGAGAGCAACCAATTAGTTGGTCACGGTTGCTATAACACGTCGCCCCCACCACAACCACCACCAACAATAACAAAAAATGAACACCAAAACACAACAGCCGACTGTACCACACAACCATCGACCACCATCTCGTCACCATCACCACAAGCATCACCGCTACTACCCTAACTCCCCAATAATGCACCACCACCACAAAGTCCAACGAACACCGATCGCACTGAGTCAAGCAGGCCACCCAACCAGCACCTACTCCATTTCAACATACCTGTGCAAGTTTTTCAACATAAAACTCACTGATTCACTCTCACATCCATTCGAACTCCTCGGTCTAGACTCATCCAATTCACTCCTGAACTCATTCAACCTCTTCTTCAAGTTGAAATCCAACCCACAACCACTACTGCTCGGCACCACCAGGTCCACCACCACATCTACTACCGCTCCAAAAAAACAAGAAACCCATCAAACACCTAAACACCACACCAATACACTTTCACACACTAAACTATCTTTTGCGTGTCGCGATGCTGTTACACTGCCATCGACCAGCGTCGCCGCACATACAGCCACAACAATGCTGCAGCTTCGGCGCTTAGATCGACGCTCAGCAGCCACGACATCGACGCTAATCGCAGCACCGATACTTGTCGCAACGTTGACGCTCGTCCTCCACTCGACACCAATCACAACACCAGCATTTGTCACGGTCAAATTTAGCAACAGTCAGTGTTGTTAGAGAGAATGGAGATAAAGTAGAGAGAATGGGGTGAATTGGGGTTTGAAATTGAATTAATTAAATATCCAATTAATACCTAATTTTTGTTTAAATAAACTTCGCACCTAAATTTTAAATTTGAAAGTTTAGCTACCTAGTTTTATGTAATTTCCTCTTTTATCTTTCTTTCTTTGATGGATTTCAAATTTTGTTTTCTTGAGATTTTCAATTGAATTCCTTGTTTCGCGTCGCATCACCACATGATGGCTACAATAAAATCAAAGCTTTTATGAACACATGACTCCATTTCCCTTAGTGGTTTAATTGTGTAAACAAATTTCATGTGTAAAAGACATCAATGATTCACAAAAAGTCATTCTTTCTTACATACATACATACAAGACAAGAAGCAGACAATATATCTAACAAAAAGAATTCACCTTAATGAACATTAAGTTGTCGCCAATAAGATCAATATTATCCAACTTCCCACATATCTACAACAAAAGAGGAAGTTCAAGTAACTATTATGACCAAGCACAAAAGAATGAAATCAATTTCAAGGGACTTTAGCAAAGATGATGTAACATATTATCACATTTTCCGATTAAAAGTAAGTATTGTTTTAATAATCTTCATGGTTAAACTATCATTTTTATCCATAAAATGCACGTTATGCCAAGCATTGATAGACCCGAGATGAGAGTGAAAAGGCATTTAATAGTACTCAAGAAAAGGGAAGCATGTAAACAGATACACCCAAAACAGTAAAATCAGCACCAAAAAATGTAAGAGATACTGCTAGTTTTATAGGCAAGACGCAAGAATGAGATGCGCCACAACCCTTTTTGTAGTGGGTTGGAAAGAGGAAGCATAGTGGATTTGTAGCGGTCGACGTTATTTCTAAATGGATGCGAAAAACAGAAAAAGAAAAAGGCAGCATTGTAACATGAATAGTGTTATGAACAATGCTAGGTATGTCACATGGGCGAGCCGAGCATGAGCTAACATACTTGAAAATATTTTTGCTCGGCCCACAAAGTAGCCATAGGTGGGCGAGCTGCTCGCCCCCACCAACGTATTATATTTTTTTGTAGTTTGAAATGTAGTCAAAGTTAAAATTGTATACAATTTAATATTTTGTGTACAATATATTTTTAAAAATAATAAATAAAATTAATTTATATATCCAAATAAAAGAAATAAATTTTAGTTACCTTACTACCTGCTTCATCTATAATTGCAATATGTAAAAGCTAGCAAATATCATACACAAACATGTGCTTCAATTGAAGTGCAATATTTGCACTAACTTGTTAAATCTTGATCCAAAATTTGTCTTCACATCAAAGACTTTACATCATTGAGTGCTGATAACGATGTGGGTAGAGATAATAATATCAATTACTGAAATCATTATGCATTTCACTAATGAAATAAATTAAAATACTCTCTACCAACTAATGTTTCATTTCTAGTAGGTGCTCAAAGCATAAGATTATTTGGAACTCACGCAAAGTTATACAATTCAAATAACAATATGAATAAGATGGTTCTTTAATTTTATATTGCACCAATGCGATATCCATTTCAAAGATTATAAAGTGCAAATTATTTTGAATTATCCCTAAACATTGTTTCAGTCCATGTGACTTGAAAAGGGAACCCATCACTACAAAATGCAAACGTGTTTGATTATCATGAATATCTTATTTCCATGAACTTTGAAATGCTACCTTTTTTCTTACTTTTCATCATGAATAATTTCTTATTATGAAAGTTATTATCTTACTGTCGAAATGAATAGGTTATTTATTTCTTATTAAGATCAATACAAAATTATTTATTTTAGAACTTATCTACTTATAAGTGAACTGTTAAACTTAGCCAAACGGCTAAAACAGAGGAATGGTTGATTGGATTTCAATGCAATCACTGTAAAGGCAACACGTACTACAATTTGCACCGAAGTCGAAAAATAGTACCAAGCAACACAACCAGAAATTCGTTGAGAACATTGGTACATTCTCAATTATTTTCTATGGATGAGACTTTAAGCGGCAAAAGGGGCATAACAAGACTTGCATGAGAGGCCACCTGCACAGGAAAATCTACGGTTCTCCGCCAAGCTCTACTCTTAGGTTGTCATATGGGTAGACCTTTGGTGTCTGCAAAGAAAAAACGGAGAAATAGCATCAGCCAGAGAGGCATATCACTGGAAAGGAAAAAAAATTATTAATAATAATAATAATAATAATAATAATAATAATAATAATAATAATAATATATATACTTTGCAATGACGATAACGCATAAACGAGCCAAAAAGTACGATTCTACGAAAATGTTATAAGGGTCTGTTTGGGTAACAGTTGATTTAAAAGGTCGAAACATTAATTTCTCGTTGTCAATCTGTCAGTTATATAGTAATGGAATCGAGAACAGAACACTGATAATTGCCATGCAACCAGCTAAGAAGATGTACAGTAAACAATTCAAAAATAATGTCAGAAATTTTGGTACTGCATGTGAATGCAATAGAACTGAACAAAACCAGGAGTTACTAAATATTCACGCTAAGCATCGAGAGAATTTAAACCCTGACAAGAACAGATAGAACTTAGTTTTCTTGTACTTTTCTCAGATCTTGTAGAGCAATTTTCACAATAGTACAAAAATGGTTTGAAACAAGTCATCTATCAATTAAGAAGTAAATTTCAAATGTCTGAGCATATTGAAGCACATCTATTAGTGCAAATCAGACACAAGGTAAAAGATCAAAATGAACTGAGCGTGAGGCCAGTAAAAGAGACGGAAAGATTTGATTTTATGGCAGGGACACAGGTAAACCTACAGAATTCATTCAAGGACCTGCTACAAATAATTCTAAGGATAGGAAAGAACTCAATAATACAAATTCTCGAATTAGTACACACCTCCAAACTACATCTTGATTGTGAGTTAAATAGCTAAAATCTCATGATGTATTACAAGCAACCATAGCTTTTATCCCCAAAAAAAGCCAATCATTTAGTACGATTGTCTAAAATCCACATCAGATAATTCCCATAAAAAGTGAACTATTCTATAAACTCCAGCTTCACTTGTCCAAAAACTGCCAAAATAGCAGTGATGCAAAAAAATAATAATAATAATTAAATAAATAATATCATATCATGGATATTGCCTCGTCTACCGAGATAATGCTAACATCACAGCCTAGGAAACACCATCAACTAAGAAGCACGGATACTTGTCAACTTATTGCATACCCATATTCGATACGTATCCAAGCTTGAATGGCCTTGAACATGCTCTAATTCGTACCCTATACTGGTTTTTTAATCATTTTATATTTTTGAAATTCTCAATACACCAGACACGTTATGATGTGGAGAAGAAAAGTTTTATTAGTTTTATTCTCTTTTAAAACTTACTATTATTGGTAATGAATAGTTTTTTTACTTGATAGTAACTACTGTTATTATTGATTAACTTATTGAAAATAAACATTGATTAATTAAAAATTTCATACAAGGTAAACATGTTTAAGATATTAGTTAACTAAGCAGTTTACACTTATTATCGAAAATAAATACAGCTTTAGATAATTGACCACTAAAGTTTTATTATTAAATATAGACAATAATATTAAATCTTTCAATACATATAAAATCAAATTAATAGTTGACAATTATAGTTTTATTATTAAAAATAGATAACAGTATCAAAACTTTTAATATATATATAATGGGGTAATTAATTGACAATTATAATTTTATCATATTAACACTTTTAATACAGGTATCCGCTTATCCTTAAAAAATTGTAACGACATTACTGGTATCGTATTGTATTCAAATTACATATACAAATCCGTGCTGCTTAGACCATCAAAACCAACACTACGTGACAATGTGATCTTGTATGCCAAAACCAAATGCCACTATCGCAGCTAACACCTTCGCCGATGCCAACCCATGCAGCTATCCATGAGATAACCCTAAACTTAGGTGCTTGTGTCAACCTTCAAGGTTGGTTTTTGGCAATAATGTAGGTACCCACCCAAGAACCCATTCAAGCACTTTTGACCATTGCACAAAAATAATAAATGTACTCTGCATCAACCTTAACATCCCTCTCTTCCTTAGCATGCTTCTTAATGCCGAATTTCACGTATATTCCAATGTAACTAATTCATGTCTTCAATTCAAGCTTTACTCTCTAAATTTTAGTTGTAAAGAATGTACCCTAAATCATCATAACACCAACTTACAGGTTTCCTGCTCTGGAGTGATGATAACTGAATTATCAGATCTGAAATTAATCAATTAGATTCCAGTCAGAAGAATGGCTAACCAGCTCTTAAGATGTTTTTGTCTGCTCATGGCAACAAACTATGTCCTACAATAGATTCTAAACACTCGACCTAATACCATATTAGCAATTAAAAAGTAGTTCAAAGCTATTAAAATAAGAGATTCAAGAAAAGAATTCAGTTTTATACAAATTGGGATATTATCCTGCTGCAGATGAAATTTCCATTTGTTGAGTTATCAACGTCACAAGAAACTTAGTCAACTAATGAATCTTTTTTACATTGCTGCGTTAGATTTTGTCCTACATCGAATGGAAGATCTAATGCTCCTTCACAACCACATCAAGCAATGTTGATTTTGGTCTACTTTTACTTCTAACTTGTTTCGCTTGGATAGCCATACTTTTAAGATATCCACCCAAGTTGTTCTTTAGGTTTATACAGTGCATGCTCCAACTTTCTAAGTTGTTCTCCCATTAGCTTGTTGTTAATTGGTGCCACCACCATTGGTTATCAGAAACCCTCATTTCTTTCTTATCCTATCCAAATTAGTATAACTGCAGCCCCATCTTAATGTCTTCAAGTTGTGTCCATTTCCCCCTCAAAGACTGAAAACCAAGTACCATAAATCAAAATTAATATAATACCCCTCTTGTGAAACTTAACTTTTAATCTTGTAGGTATTTTCTATATGACGTATAATTCCATCAACACTTGTTCGTTCCTTCTATCCCACTAAATCCAATGAGTAACACTTCTCCATTTCATCCAACTCACTATATCCGATTCATCACACCATCCTTAAGACTCAAGAGTCAACCTAAATACCTAAAACACAACTAATGGAGACAATTTGAATTTCTATAGTAACAACATATCATCCTTATTCCACTATGTCTAAAAGCTTGCTCCATGTATCCTTAATTCCATTCTAGTTCAACTTAGCCTAGAACCTTTGAATTCCAAAGTATGCATTCAAGATTCTAACCTTTCGAGTCTCATCCTATGTTATCAGCGAATTACATACACTAAGGAATCTCAAGTTGTAGATAGAGCAAGAAGATACATACTTAAGAGTTAAGAAACAATCTTGAACGAAGAGTATCCTGATACTACCATTGTGTCTTCCCTAGACTAGCAAAGCAGAGGCTCAGCAAATGAAATTTCCATTTGTTGAGTTATCCTGTTGCAGATGAAGTTTCCTTAAGATTTTGTTTTTATACTTTCTGCTTAAAATTACTCTTGCAACTTCTATAAATGCCTTTGGCATTTTGAATATCACGACATTTAAAACCTTTAGAAAGTCATCATTCAATACCTTGAGACTTCTAAGGATTTTTAAGAAGTCTTCAAAAGCCTATATTGAATGCCCCTCAGTTTTATGGAGTCTTAAAAAGTCTTATATTGAAAACAGACTTTTTAAATCTCTAGAAATCTTTAAAAGTCCGGATTAAAAACACCAATCTTAAGGACTTAAAGTTGGAGTACATAGTACATTTGAGAGAAAAGGATAAGATATACACAGTACTATGGATTCAAGTAAACCCCAACTATGACTGTTTACATTTGCATAAAGTAATTTATTGTTTCTTTAACCATCAATGCCATCACAATAAAAGCGAAGTACAGCAAGCATCTTATAATCACTAACATTATGAAAATGAAAAATAAAATGCATATAGTAACCAATGTTCTGAAGACTAACCCACTCTTCAACCTCAAAAAGGCAAACGGTCAAGGGTTAAAAGAACCAAACCAGTGTCAAACTGGTTATCAAGAATAAATTAATAAATATACTTATATACTACAAAAATTTAGCAAACCAAATAAAAATAAGTATTTCTAATATAAAACGACATAAATAACATCTATAGATTGTTTAAATATTATTTAGCATTTTAGTATGTTATTAGAATAAATTTAAATGAAAAATATGGAGTAAATTAGAAGGAAAAATGAAGGACTTCAAGTTTTCCTCTACATTTTTTTGAGTAACGATATTAAAATTGGTTACAGTACAGTGTTTTCCATATGACAAAAAAGTAACCCAATATGCTTTTCCCTTTTTCTGTAGCGCTTCTGTTACCTTTCAAAAGAATTACCAATCCTAAACCATTAAGAAACAAAGTATCTAAAGGAAGTGATATTTGCTAAATGTCATAACTCTTCGATACTCAAATCAACATCCCATGTCATATATAAAAGTGGTATAGATTCAAGTAAACCCCAGCTATAGCTATGCCTTACATTTTCAAGCCAGATAAAGTAACTGATTCTTTCTTTAACAATTAATGCCATCACACATAAAAGTAGGGTAGATCGAGCATCTTATAACCACTAACAAGCATCTTACAATCTTTAACATAATGAAATCTAAAAAATGACAAATGCAGATTGTAAAAAACCAATCCGACCATTGACTCAAAGGCATAAATAAATATTTAGATGTTGACAAAACCAAATTAATTAATGTATAAACAAGAGTACTCATTAAACTTCTAGTTTTCATTGTCCAATTCTAATATCAATAAAAAATGAGGAAAACGATATAATTTAAATCTTCAAATGGCTTAAGCCTCTGTCTGATAAGGATTTAAATCTAGATTTTAATCTAAATTAAAGTTAACAATTAATTTTAACCATATATTACATGAGATCCACAATGTTTCAACCATACATTTCATTAATTTTTATCAAAAATTACTAAAAATCTTATTTTAATCCTCACCAAACACGAACTAAATTTTTTTAGCATTTTAGTGAGCTATTAAAATAAAATTAAGTGAAAAATATAAAGTAAATTGGAATGAAAAATGATATCAAATTCAAAAAATCACTAATATATTTTGGGCTTTAAGTTTTCCTCTACATCTTTTCAAGTAATAATATTTTTATTTGTAAAGTACACTGTTTTTCATATATAACCAAAAGAATTCCAATATGCTTTGTTCCTTTTTCTGTACAATGTTTATTTACTTTTTAAAAGAAAGTAATTAGAAATTTAAAACAAAACTACAACAATAGAATACTTTCATCAAACAGAGTCAAGGACAGAGAGAGTCAAGTCGGGCCGTTCTAATCCATATGTCCTTTTTCACATTGATTGTTTATTTGTTTATCGAAGTGGCAATTCAATTGTTCCAACTGTTGCCCAGAAAATAGAGTGGCTAGCGCCCACGCCCACCCCCACCCCATGAAGAAAGCTCACCGAGAAGATAGATACATAGATCAGAGAAAGGAATGAGGGGGACCATTAAAAATAAAACATATAGAGAAAATGATTTTTGCCATCTGGCTTCAACTTCCGTATTTTCAAATCAATTGATTTTATGTATCAAACGGTCAATTCCAAAGTAGAATCAAATAGAAGAGACAAGAAGTTTTTCAAGCCAAAAACCAAAAAGGCCTTTATTTCCAATTTTAAAGAAACACACTATATAAGTATCGTATGAAAAGGTGAGCCAAGAAGGGGGAGGGCACAATTTTAGGGCTGCACGAGAAGCTGAAATCTTACAATTTCAGCCCTTGGTCAATATGGCTGCGCTTTCAGCTAGTTTTTAATTATATGGTTTTTCACCACAACTGAACTGGATTTCCACCCAGTTCCAGCAATTCCGGTCAAACTGGCCGAGCCGGACAGGAATTCAGGACAGTAATTGTAACCCGAATATTAAATTTGCATGAGGAATCAAATAGAGATTCTCAAGATAACTAAGATTAAGAATATTCTTCCACAAATTGTATTTGAACTTTGTGTGGGTAAAATTAGAAAGTGAGAACTTTTATATATCACGTGATTGTTTTTCTTAACATCACAATCTACAAGTGTGTGTATAAAAATTTGAGGATATGTACACTTACACTCTTTGAGACCAAGAACCTACATTCTACTGCCTGGCAAACAAAATTATTGCTTTCTACTTCTCATAAATTAAAATTGTCATATAACTAGAAAAGTTTGTGTGCCAACTCTAAATTTGAAATTACACTGGGCCATGTTTTGCTCATAAATTACCTAAATAATTTCATGGTAGTCATCACAAAATGATATAAAAAATTGTAATAGGGAGTTACTGTTGTTGATCTAGTGAGATTGGCACTTGAGAATTTTTCATTACAATAAGTTTACATCGATGAGCCTAAGTCCTTACCTTTCTACTTCAGTCTAATATGAGCAATTTAAAATCAATCTTTCTAACCTCATTCATCCCATATCCCGCTAATAATACCTCAGTAAGTTGTGCATCCAATCGGGAAACAAGTCTACATCATCATTTCCAAAAAAACTAGGAATTGTTAATTAAACCCTTCGCCAAAATCTTCAATAATCAAGTTCATGATGAAAAGACTCATTGTGAAGGCCGTTACCATAAGTTCAATTTCCCTCTAATAAGGAATCAAATTCTGGCAGGGAACACCTGAAAACTGCAGTTCAGTGTGTGCGCTGCTACTTGTAAACAGACTTATGAGTATCTTTTCCAGGAGAACTACCTTTTGCACGGAAACTAGAAAGCAGAAATGTAGGATGCAGTTGAGTGTTGGGTCATCAAAGGGAAAAAATATCCATAAGATAAACATAAGCAATTTTGAGGATGTTAAGATGAGTGTGAAAACTAGAATAGATAAAATACGAAACAAGACTATATGCCACAGAGCACAAATTAAGAACAAGGCATCTTAAAGAGTGGAGCAATGTCTTTCTGGAACTCACATAAGTTGGGAAAGTCTCAGTGTCAGGTTAGAGAAATGAGAAAGGGACCAGAATAAACTTGGCCAGAGGTCTCTGCAAAAGATTTGATTTCCTTGAATCTTTTACGAGAGGTAGCTCCAGATCAAATGAAATTGTGAAAAAAATATAAACCAACCCCAAGTTAAAGAGAATAACAGTTAGTCATTATTAATGATAATAAATTGAAAATGAGGTAATTAATTTGTAGGCAACATGGATTATTGAACAGGAGAAACAGGTGTTGATGTTGGCTAGACAAAGGACAGATTCACTTAGTTATCATTATGCCCTTGTTTGGACTCCATTTTAATGAGTTTTGGGAAAAAATTATTTTGGAATGGTAATTTTTTTGAAGATTGTGTGGCTAAAAAAGTGAGAAAAAGTTTTCGATTTACGTGTAATATTATTTTATTAAAGAATGTGTGGTTGAAAATGAGTTTTGAAAAAATGTATTTTTGGTTTAATTGAGCTCAAAAAACTTTAGCAATAAGTCAAATAGTAAGCATGGTATCAAAAATGGAGACAACTCAATGAGATCTCTACCATGGTTGAGAATGGAATAGGCGACAATGAGGGAAAGAAAAAATAAGTATCATGGTGTTCTTCCTTCATGGAACCACATTTAAAATTAATGGTTGGTTTTTTCATTCCTTTATCTCTTGTTACAAATTTTGTATTCTGATAGGCACGGCAATCCCTACTTTAAATTCCAGAAATTAAACGATCACAAAAAATTCAAACCATGCAGATTTCAAGTTCACAATAATCCGTTGTAATCAATAGTTTAATGAGATCTACATCAACTTCATAAAGTGCTAAATCACTACTGTGTAGCGAAATGGAAAAGCATATATAAACCCATAAAAACACAGGTTTGTCCTTAAAATAGTACATTCAAATCTTTGTTACTAAGTTCTCTAAATAATATGTGGTTAGTTGACACAAGGGAAAATTATATATAGTTCTGTACTTAAATATAGAGTCCAATTTCTTTCATACTAATATCCAATTCACTTATAGTAACACACATTTTCTTCTTTTATTATTTAAAAAAATAAAAATAAAAAACCAAAAATAATAAAATAAAATAAAATAAGCCAATCTCAAATATGGATCAATATTAGAGACTTACGAATGGGATTTTGGAAGCCTTGTCATTCCACACAGCTAAGAGACCAAGTGACGCAAAAAATCCCAACCCTCCACACAACCAAGCCAATGCTTCATACTATTAAAACAAATACATTCAGTCACTAATAGTCCAACAAATACCCTCAATCTAATTTCCAAAACCCAAGTATAAAAAAGGTGAAATTGTATCCACGTGAAATCTGACCTTCCCAACAGTATCAGCAATGCGATCTATACATGGTTCTGGAAATGCAGTGCCATTATCCCAAACAAGCTCATCGTTCACTGGAAGCTGTAATATTAAAAATTTATAAATAAAAAATAGGGTTCTTCCCAGAGTCTTAATCTTCCTAAATAAAATAAAAGTTAATAAATATAAACAATTATGTGCGTGGGGGGGTTAGGGAGAGAGTGATACGGGTTTGTCGGGAACGATGTGTTTGCCGACGGGTAGGCCCATGCCGGAGCGTTGGCGGACAGAGGCGGCGACAGAGCGGGCGGCGACACCGTTTCCGCCCATGATTCGTGATGCCACATGGCTCAGCCTTCCTGCCATCCTCGATTTTCTTTTCCTAGACTCAGTGATGAAAACCTTCTCCGAGGGTAAATGATGGATGGAAATTTGAGGTCAGTCGCTGGCTCGCTGCTTACATAGGCGAAGCCACATAAACACCTCGGCCAAATTTGGTGGCTAAAATAAATTTTGGAATAGTAAATTTTTTGTTTTTTTGTTTTAAAGAATGTATGATTAAAATGTTAAAAATAAAATTGAGTTTATATATAAAATATTTTATCGTATAAATATATCGGTAAAATTAATATAAGAATAATGATTATCAAATAGAGGCTTAAATGACTCCATATTATTTTTCTTTTATTTTTTTGTGTAAAGTATCTGTTCAGATAACATGGAATTTTCAAATTATAAATAAAAGTAATTTTAATTATATATTTGAAATTAATAATTGACTTTCCAAAAATAGAAAATGAAATTTTTACTAACTTTTATATTTCAAAAAATAAGGCCACACAGAGGCCATATAAGAGTTTACTTATTTTTAGATGAGTAACTTTCCCACTTGAATAAATTATAAAGATATACTTGGAAACCAATTCCAATTTCGAAGATAAAATTTTAGGGTATGTTTGAATACAAAAATAGAATTTGGGTGGAAAGAAAATGAATTTCAAGGAATTGAATTGTCTATAAATTGTTTTCTTGGGAATTGTCAATTTATTGTGTTTGATTAGTATAATTTCTCACGTGAAAAATGTTAAAATAAAAGTATTTTTTGATATTCGTTTGATTTTGTTTTACATGAAAATTGTCAATTAAAGGGATAAAATTTACTAGTATTGAGGATAGAATTTGTTTCCATTGCAAAAAAAAAATAAGCAAAAAACCCAAGAAAATAATCTATATTTTGATGTTCGTTTGACTTTGTTTTACATGGAAATTGTCAATTAAAGTGAAATTTTTTTTTATAATAATTCTTAGAGTTTGTTTCTATTGCTAACAAAAAAATTAAAAATTGCTACAATTACCAGGAAAATGAATTCTCACCCTCAATTAGATGGAAAATATCCATGTGGCAACAAAAGCAAGAAAACAAATTCCATGGAAAATAAATGGTATCAAACACCATTAATTGAGTAAAAGATGGAAAACTTATTCCATTTTCCATGAAATTGGTTCCAACCAAACACTACCTTATAGTAAAAATGAAAAGTACCTGGAAAATAGCCTCTACGTTTTTTAAGCTTAACTAAACATGTTCTATAAGCCCTTGATTTGAGCCTCATTTAAAAAAAAATATATATATATATATATATATATATATATATTTGATTGATTTATATATAAAATTATTTTATTAAAAATGTTTAACTAAAAATAAATGTTAAAAAATGAATTATTGAAAAATGAGATTCGAACAAAGATTAAAAGTAACTATTTTTAAGCTAAGCCAAGGGTGGGGATGGCACCTCATCCTTGTTCCAAAATCCCCGCTTAAAGGAGTTAGGACAGGGCCGAGATCTACATTCATTAGCAGGATATGGGTTTTAACTTCTGGACCTTGATATTCATTCAAAGGGATTGTGATCAAATTACTGGGCATCTAGTCACGTGATCATCTGGCTATAGCATTAACAATAAATCTCTGTGTACACAGGGAAAATATTCACAGGAAAATTACAGATCCCTCACATGGGTTGGTCCCACACGGGCCCAGTGCAATAGAAAATGGCAAAAAAAAAAAACGAACCCACCCATGTCAGATCCCTGTGAAAGGGTCGGTAAGAGTTGGGCCTGTACGCCCAGTTTGGTTGATAGTATTAATGTTCCTTATCAATCTCCATCGTTGAACTCAGACTCAGGGAATTCCTAGGTCTTTCTTTTATGCTTTTCCATTTTATTTTATTGATGTATTTTGAGACATTGGGTGCAATGTCTAATTTAACTTTGGAGGTGAGATAAAAATTTATGCTTTTACTGTTTTTTGAGCGACTGTAGCACTGGTGGACCCACAGTGGGTCCTGGTGGGTCACTCGACCCACCAACTTAAAATTGATTTTTTTTTCCCTATTTTTCTCAGAAATCAAATTTGAAGCCTTAAGAAATTATTTCTTTTTGATAATTTCTTTTGTATTATCTCATGAAATGGAATTGGGGATTCCCTTAATTGCTCCAAATTCTATCTTGTTTTGGCTATATTATGATAATGGATTTTGCTGTGATTTTTGTCTTTATTTGAACTGAAATGCAGTTGATAATGTAACATTCAGAATTTTCTATGAGTTTTGTATTTTTCACTTGAATTGATTTTTTTTTTCATTAATTGTGATGAAAAACAATTTAAACGTAAATATGCTTTTTCTTTTTATGATCACAATGTTAATGAAAAGATTTTTCGAGATAAAAGTGATGAAAATAATGTTAGAGATAAAAAAAGATGACAAACTTGGTGATGTTTGAGATAAATGTAAATTTGTATTTTTTGCAAGTTGGATTGTACCATACCAATTCAAAATATCTGGGTCCACCACTGGACTGTAAGGCATTAGCTTTTTTTATAAATTGTTGGAAAAAATTGAGGAGCGGCTCACTTTTGGCACAATTTTCGATGGGACCTGTTGGTCCAATATGGAGTATCAAAGTTGATAAGTGTTCTCCGAGAACATCGATTTCATGTATTTATTTGCCAAAAATGAAGTTCGGGTGAATGAGAAATTGAAGCTCAAAGTTGGTCATTGGAAGTTGATTTTGTGGAAAAAAATGCATTTATCCCACATAGGAAAATCGAGGAAACGTAAACCACTTTATATATGGCTATGCTTTGGAGATGTGTAATCATGTGTAGCATAGAGGCTCTCTCCACGTGCATGTGCAGGGGGTACAAATCACGAACCGAAATGGATTTCGGACCTTGAACTTGGGTACGGGCGCGACTTTTACACACAAATGTCGGACCGAACAAGAAAAAAATGGCCCCATCGGTGAGCCCACACTTTGCCATTTTTTTTTTTACTTTCTCCAATGACTTTTGAGTTTCTAAACTGAAAAAACTCTAATGGACTCCCAATGGTCACAGTGTTAATGGGCAGTATGCCTATAAAAAGGCTCATTCTTCAGCAATCTAACACACTCGAAAATCTCACCTACATTCCTGCATACACAGTTTCTTCTTTTATGCATTTCTTGTCCAGTAAGGTCTTGTTCTTGTGGTAATATTGTTCGGATATTAGATCAGTTCGCTGAAGTAGGACTGCGGTGCTCGGATTCTGCTTATTACCATTGTATCATGGGAGACAGCCGCTCGAATTGAACTTCCAGCACCTACGGTGAGGGGGCGAAACTGTCTTAAGGAAACTGTGCACGCACAGGCCTCGGTTTGAAACCTGCTGCAGTTTGTGTTTTCTTTCTACAGATTATTTTCGCATTACTATTTAATTCATGCAGTTTGTAGTTCCATAATGTGCAGCTTCCAGATTCATCGTTTACAGTTTTAGCCTGCAGTTAACTTATATTTCTGATTTTGTGTTGCTAAACATTTTTTTCAGCTGTTGGAAAATTTTGAAACGGAATTTTTTTGATAAATTGAAATCGTTTGCCTTGTGGTTATTAATTTCAATAGTCGATTATTGTAATTGAATAAAACTTATACAATTGGTTTCATCCACTAGCGACTTGTTTTCCTACATAAATGACGGAGAAGAAAAAATTTTGAAAAATCCAAAAAAGAATTCCTTTTGTTGTATGATTGTGTGAATTGGATAACCTAGTCGGATATGATAATATAATTGGAAATACATGTTAACTTCTAAATTTTCGATAGGTTGTGTACTCTGATTGATTTGTTGTTTGTCCATGTAAAACTTGATATCTCTTGAGCACTTGAATTGAGTTCTTTATTATGAATTTTGAAACGACTCCTTATTTAGAATAGATTGAATAAGTGTTGAACTGAGCTTGTTACACCTGAAACCTTATCATATTTCAAAATCGAGACCATTTGAAAAGATAGCTTGGGTGATCAAACAAATTAGGAAGCAATTGACACAGTTGTTAATTCTATTACTAATTATAAGTAATGCTCTCAATAAGGGCAACGTGGAAGCCCCATGTTCACACACATGGCATTGGATAAAAAAATAGAGGGGTTATGGAAACAATCTCATTGACAGCTGAGGTCATTGCACTGGGCTTTTCCGAAGTGGTGTTGGTCCTTGTTCATCCGAAGTGGGGTTACTCCTTTTTGTTGAAACCCTCAAATGTAGCCTCCAAGTCACCTCAGTTAACCAACAACTCTAATTTCTGCATGAATGTTCGCAAATTAGACTTGGGGGACTATATTGTTAGACAATCAAGTTTTTTCCCCTACCAAAATTTTTTATTTTTATTTTCCTTATGAAATGTAAACTCTATGTATCACATGAATTACTATACATAGACTGGGGGGCTATTGTTATTGGTCATAAGTAATGCTCTCAATGAGGGCCACGTGAAAGCCCCATGTTCGCACACATGGGGTTGGATCAAAAGCAAAGAAGGTGTTATGGAAGTAATCTCATTAACAGCGTCCTTGTTCATCTGAAGTGGGGTTACTCCTTTCTGTCGAAACCCTCAATATCCGAAGTCCCTAACGCCAAGAAGAGGTTATGACAGGCGTATCTTTAGGATTGATTGATGTGACGTTCTTATTAAATAGATGTCGAGAATGTCAGCTTAGGGATATAGGGTGACTAACCCCTTGTCAAATGTCTGTCAATATGATTAATCTGAGATAGAATTGATGGGACATCAGGGTCTAGCAGATCAGGCCACGTGAATCGGATCCAATGGTGACCACGTCGGTTTGGTCACAATGAATAACTATTTTTGTAACATTTTTAATAATGTATTTTTAGACATACAAAAGAGCATTGCACATTTCTCTAAAAAAACCCCATTCGTTGTTTTATACTTTCTTCTTCTACAAGCATGAACTTTGTCTATTTATTTAAGCGGGTTTGATCAGCTATCGAACAAGTACTTAAACTTGCAATCAATATATTGAGAAATATGTCCACGTGTGCAGTGTTTCGAACGACACCTGCAGGCAAATTTTTAGAGGTTAACAAATTCCACACATGAAAATGTGTTGTCTAGATTGTCGCCATATGATAAAACTAGGA